GTTAGAGAGATGAAGCAGTGAATGACATGGAGAACGTGTACAGGGAACAACCCTTTGTGGTTTCCCATAACGTGAGAATGACGGGCCCACTATGAAAATGAGCAGCATCCTTAAAGAAAAGGAAGTGCTTTTTCTCGTAGCACATAATTCAGTAACAGAACTCATTGCCATGGTATATAGTGGGGCCAAAAGTACAAACATGTGCCAAAAGAGTTTAGCCAATTAATGTAGGATATAGTCTCAATAAATATGTGAGTTTGGGTACAACGTCTGCCTTGAATCGCCGCTTTGCATAAATCGGAAGAACCTACCAGAGAAAGTTTATTTTATGCATTCTGTATTTTCTTGGTAACCTAATCCCCAATTATTAGCTGCTCTCAGAAATAGGATATGGGCCACTTACATGGATAATTGGTCACAGAATCAGTTTTGGATGCATAACTTTATTTTTCCTCCCCTGCCTCCCAGATCTTCATTGAAAGAACAAGTAATAACAAACACTTGAACACTATCAATATCCGACATATTGCTAATTCAATTCGAACTCATGGAACAGGAATCATGAACACAACAGTGAGTATCTTTTGCGCAGTTGTTGGATTTTTTTTTTTTTTAATAGTGCACAAAAGCTTCCTAACTCTTGCATATTCTAATGGTTTATTTGGTTGTGCAGTTTTAATAATGCAATAGTAATGTTCTGTGTGTATTAATAAAACAAATCAGTTGGACATGACACAAATCTATCACAATCTTTTCGGAGTTATGCCACTTCTAGTTACTACATAAAAGTTAAGAGGTCTAAAAACACATCAAAGAAGATACAGATGTTCTGGTAGGACTCTAAATTTCAGTTAAGATAAATAATACTTACCAAACTAGCACAGTAATATATTTTGATTTCTAAGCTGCCTGCATAAATTAGCATGCTTTAAGTTTCTCCTTATGTACACTTAGTAGACAGATATTTTTGCTGCAGATAAAGCAAATCTTGAAGAAATGCAGTGTTAATTTTTTTTTGTTAATTGCTCATGTAATCATTAAGCTTAAACATCTGCTTTTCAATTTGCAAAATAAAAGCAACAGATCTCTGATCATTTATTAGAAGACTGCAACTTTGTTAATTGCTCATGTAATCGTTAAGCTTAAACATCAGCTTTTCAATTTGCAAAATAAAAGCGACAGATCTCTGATCATTTATTAGAAGACTGCAACTTCTTACTGCAATGCTTTTGATGATGTCTGTAGTGTAGGTGGTAATTTTAATCAGCTAAAGGCATTTACCTCTTTGCAAGGTAGGAAAGGATACTTCCTGTGGCATGCCTGCTGCAACAGGAACTTATCACTGTGGTTCTTGGGTTTGGATACAGTGCCAAAGGTGTTTTTAGGTCGGTGCTTTCCAGTCTGCTGATCAACTTTTCTACCTCATTGCTGTTTTTCCCATTGTTCTGTCCCTGTTAGGAAAAAAAAAAAAAAAAAAAAAAAAAGGGAACTTGCTGAAATACTGAACCTGCTCTCAAGTCATTACTTGAAAAGTGGAAATGATTAGAAAAATAAGGTTTTCATGCTTTCTTGCACTATTGGAAATAACTTCTCTTGCACTATTCTGAGAATTATTTTCTTCTTGTTACTGGAATAGTTAATCTTGGGGACTTCAGTTACTCAAAAAAAATGCTGTTACTCACGTTATTTATTTCCTGGTGATGTAGATGCATTCACTTCAGGCTATGAGTAAAATTGTTCATGCAGACATGAGAAGTAATTGAGATGCGTAGCGTAGAAGTGTACATCTGCCTTATGGGAGAGTGTTTTAGAAAACTTTGAGGAAGTGAAAAGGTGTGTCAAGAGGTTATGCAGATTCCACAGCTTAACTGAGGAAGTTGAGCTTGTCTGCCCTCTTCAACTTGACATGTTTGTATTGCTTCAAAAGGACAATTACAGGATATTCCAAACACAAACTAATGGCTGTGTAGGTCAGGTCATCGAACTGAAGTGGCTAGCTTGTCCCTTGATCCTCTCTGGAAGAGGGTAGGCTGTCCAGGAGAAGGGTTTTCTTTATTCTTTTAAACCAGTGAAATTAAAAAGTTAAGTTGAGAATAACAAACTGAAGTAAACCGAGTAGAAAGTTCTGTCTTTGGAAGTTACATCATCATAAGTACAAGTTACTCTGGAATCTACTGAAAATGCGTTGCTAGATACGCTTGTTACTTTGCTAACTTTCTTGATTTGACTGAGTTTTTTTTTTGTTTTCTTCTAGGTAAACTTCACTTACCAATTTTTGAGGAAAAAGTTTTATATTTTTAGCCAGTTCATGTATGATGAACATATCAAATCCAGACTTATCAAAGACATCAGATTCTTCAGGGAAGTCAAGGATCAAAACGATCACAAGGTATAGTAATTTTTGAAGTATTGAGGGTAACTTGGTTAAAAGAAGTGCTACTTTTATGTGACTGAAGGTGCACCAAATCATAAAATTCCTTTAATTTAAATGTGTATCTCCAGACAAAAGGACAGCTTTTGTCCTAGCAAAGTGCAGTGTTACAAATGTCTGTATTCAGGATGTCTTTGTTTCATTCTGGCTGCTGTAAATATGGGGTTGGCTAAAATCATTCTCTCAGTGACCCTGAAAATTATGATTTGATGAAGTCATAGTCTACTGGAGGTTCTAAACGTCTGGTCCAAACAGTGTTTAACAGTTGTTGTCAGTTTTGAATAGTAAGATTTTTCAAACTGAATCCAAAATTCTGTGAATGTGTAGCACTTATCCCAGTATGTCAGGATTTGAGGACTAGGGTCTGATTTCCATGCTGGAAATTTGATTTCTTGAAAATGTGAGAGGCAATGTATTTAATAAAACAGGCTTCTTGTACGTCAAGTACTTATTTCTTTTAGGAATATTTTCTTGTTCACAGTAAGACTTCTATTTCACTTTTCAGCTTTCAGATGTGACTTAGCCAAATGACTTTTGCAAACTAATACAGACAAGCAGGTGTATAATTTATAAAAAAAAAAAAAAAAATTGCGAATGGAATTGTATTGACATGATGAAAACACTTGATTTTTTTAAGGGCAGATAATTATTCTTACCAATTATTCTAAAATATTTTTTTTTAGTATCCATTTGAAAGAGCAGATAAATTCAACCGTGGCATCAGAAAACTTGGAATAACCCCGGATGGCCAGAGTTACCTTGACCAGTTCAGACAACTCATAAGCCAAATTGGTATGAAATACTATCTAAGACAATGTTATAAATGTTATTAAATGAAAGAGATCTTCATAGTCTAGTAACTGAACCTTTAGCTCAGGCTAAAACTCGATTTAACTCTAGTCAGAGGGAAAGTACTTCCCTTGTATCCCATGTGAAATAAATGCTGTCATCCAATTACAGAGAAATGGCCCTTGCATGTCTTAATCTAAAATATAGCCACAGCTTGTATAGATGCCTGTTCCCTTTAAGTTTGTCTTTTCTTTATATTATGGAAGTGACTTTGAGTGTTTTTCCCAGTAAAAAAAATAGTACTCTTAAGTTCCTATATTTCAGAAAAAGGCCATATATCCAGCTGCGCTACCTTTGAGTGTTGCGTGACATTACAATGGTATTTTCAGCTCTTTATGCTGTAGATGTGCAGGACTGACCTGAACGTGCAAGTGTTTTCATGTCACCAGTGAAAAGAGTTTGTACTATTTGCTATACTTACGCTATCATGAAAGTGAACGCAGCCTTGCTAGATGATGCATTTTGTGTTTTATTTCTCTGCATAGACTTCTGATACAGGGATTCAACATAGCGTTTTTAACTTGGCCTTCAGAACAATTTCTTTGCCAAAATTGTATGGCAGCTTTGATGTACGTTTCAGAGCTTATGGGAGTTATGAAGAGTGTGTGTGTGCATATGTATTTAAATAATTATTAATGACTGCCTTGGTTTTTCTTTTTTTTTTTTTAAAGGCAACGCTATGGGTTATGTACGAATGATAAGATCTGGTGGACTTCACTGCTGTAGTAGTGCAATTAGGTACTTTGACAAATATTTCATTTTTTCTGTTTGCTCCTTCTCATTCCTTTGCTCCCTATTCATGCTGATATACCCTGGGTTCTTACCCATACCCCATACATTTTGATTTAAAAGGTCCATTTTTATGCCTTCATTGAAGTGGAATTATGAAAAACAGTGCTGGAATTCAGAACCGTACAATCATTGCCATAAAACACCAAAAATCAAACAAATTCTATGGAAAAATACTGCAGAAGAGTTAATAGATTGCATATCTAAGTCATTGGTCCTTAATTAAGTCAGTAATTCCTGATGTTAATCTCTTTGAGAGGGTGCATTAAGGAAAAGCAGTACAAGCCTTGAGGAACTTAGTGTCAAAGAAATGGTTTTTTTCCACATTCTATGTGGATGATTGTGTTTATATAAGGTCATTAAAACATAGTGATTTCACACACAAAGACATAGTTGGTTTTCTTGCAAATGATAGTAAACTTAGCAAGTGCTAGAGAGGAGGTGTTATAATTTCAAGTACATAGTTCAAGCCCAGAGGAGTAAATTTAGCTAAATTATAAATGATGGTCAATACTTCAGTGAACACAGACAGTTGAACATAACACTAACAAGCAGGAAGTTTTCAGGTTTGTTCCTGATCTGGAAGATATCGTTAACTTTGAAGAGCTGGTGAAAAAAGAAGGACTTTCAGAAGAAACACAAAAAGCAGCAAGGTACCCTAACATCATGCCCTTGAGGTCTGGGATGGGTTGAGAGAATTGTCATTTTTAAGCTGTAAATGCAGCCGTTAATTGAATTTTTGTGTGTGCGTATGTTAAAAGCTCAACTGATTTTACTCAAAAATATTTGCTGCTCTTAAAAGCAGAGAAAATAGAAGCAGTTGTTTTTAAAAATGCTGAATCTGAAGCGGCATTTCAGGAAGTTCAGACTGGACATTAGGAAAAGGCTCTTCAGTGAGAGAGGGTGGGCGGTCACTGGAACAGGCTCCCCAGGGAAGTGGTTGTGGCACCAAGCCTGTCAAGAGTTCAAGGAGCATCTGGACAATGCTCTTAAGCATGTGGTTTAGTTTTAGGGAGTCTTGCGAGGAGCAGGGCATTGGACTCGATGATCCTTATGGGTCCCTTCAAACTTGAGATATTCTATGATTTGTACTAATAGAGCCTGGTTTCTTGATAAAATCCTTGTGGTTTAAAGGCTAACAAGCTTTCCTCACCATGTGTCTGATGTCTACTTTTAGAATGTTCAGGCCCTTAAGAAAGTATTCATAAACCTTTTTTTAGGAAATTAAATCAATAAACATGATTCAAGGTGGCTGTAGAGGTAGGGTGTAATCTTGGACGCTTTGGTCCGAATATAGGATTGTAGGTGCAGCCGAAGAGCGAAGAGAGGGTTGTTACCCGGAAGGGTGAGGAAGCAAAGAAACTTCTGGCAGAAACCAGGAAACACATTGCTTATCCTTTGCAGGCAGTTGGACTCTGTCCTCAGTGACCTCACGCGTAACTTTGCAGAAGGAACGGAGTACTTCAAAATGCTCGTGGATGTATTTGCTCCTGAATTCCGCAGTCCAAAGAACATGCATTTGCGGAACTTCTATATCATTGTTCCCCCACTGGTTAGTATTTGCATTGTGTGCACCAGTACTTACTTTAAAAAAAGTATCATATCAGGTTTGTGTTTAAATATTTTGTATTAGGCTGTTGATTATCATATTCTACTTTCTTCCCTGATCATGAGTGGGATTGCTTTCAGTGTGGCTTTGCTGATAGTTGTCCAAAGCCATGTTTTTCTTGCTTTACATCAATTCATGTACCAGCATTCAAAAGGTAACTTTAAAAATTTCTTCTCCTCTTCTTTGAATCAAATTTGGAGAAAGCCAAGATAAAAAAGGAGGAATTGGAACAGCAGGGACAAAGGGAATTTAAAACTGTGTTCTTTAGCTTCTTTCGTTTGCGTGCTCTTTCCACATCACGTTAGCTATCTTCAGGTTCTTTGAATGTCATGATCTAATTCAGTACAACTGTGGGGCATTGCCTATTGCAACTGGACCTGTGTTTGCTAATGAGCTTTGTTTAGAAAGGGTCCAACTGATTTGAGGTGATGCACAATTGAGTGCAGCATCCTGGGCATTTGGAAGCAGTTCAGCCTAAATGGTCTAAATAGATTAATGTGTAACATCCCATTTTAGAAACTAATTTTGGAATGTCGATGAGCCATAAAATTAAGACTGTAAGAGGACAGGTTATGTCATGGTGATAGAAGCAAGGGAAAATAAAGGCTCACGACAAATACTTTTGTTCTTTTTCCTTCCCATTTGTGAAGTTTTTTTCTGATAAATACAGTTTCAGGAATATACCAACCATTTGAGTTTTAAAAAGGCATTTCAGTGTAGTTAAACTTGAACCTGTCATAAGTTTTTGAGAAGTTGTTAATGCACACGTTTTTCTGTGTTGCAAGAGTAGATCTTGCAGACGAATTCGTATCGATCGCTTGGTATTACTACCTGGATCTATTGTTTAACATCATTATAAATGTAAGACTGTTAAAATATTTTTACTGTTTTCTAAACAGAGTGAAATTACTTACTGTAGCTTTAAAACACATCTTTAAGCTTTCCGGGAACCTGGGCTGTTTTAATTATCCTTTACTTGTTTATATGTTTACCTCTAGTAATCGCAAAGGGAATGCGAAGCTATAGAGTCTGACAAGAACAGCAAAGATGATGATCTACCTTTGTTTTTTTACTTATGCATACACAGATGTTTTCCAAAGCTTAACTTACTTTCTTCCCAAAAAAATCTAGGAAAAGGACAAGTTTTCATACAAAAATGCTAATGATGGGAGAGACAATTAGCATAGTTTTGGGTGTGGAATTATATTTGTAGGTAACAGTGTGTATGTGAATACCTTTTAAAACTTGTGAGTCTCTCTGATGATTCCAAGACAGCTTTTCACTGTTTCAGACCCTCAATTTTGTAGAGCATTCAATCAGTTGCAAGGAGAAATTGAATAAGAAGAACAAAAGTGGAGCAGCTTTCACTGATGATGGATTTGCGATGGGTAAGTGTCAGCACACTGACTAGCCTTTGGCTAAGCCAACATAATGGATATTTGCAAGAAAAGTTTTGTTTATATTTTACGTGTTCTCATAATTAAAAATTCCATAATTTGAATTTGGGTTGTTTTGGCTTCAGCGCAGTGGATTTGAGGGCTGCTGTTGTGTTCAGAATCTCCTAAGCATGGAATAGCTGAGTATGGGAGCAGACAGTTTTGTTGTATGTTGATGCTCCCTAATTTCTTTCAAAGCTTGCGGATCTCAGCAGGTATGCAAGTCTTTGGATAAGTTATGAGGTTTTCAAAAATTGAAGCTTGTTCTTTATTATTATTTTTTTTCCTGTTAGATTTAATTTTAAATTCGTTGCAGTTTAAATTTTATTTTGGGGGGGGAATTATCACGTTAGGCTCATCCATTAAAGACATTCACAAAATGTTTTACAAATCACATGTTGACTTTGGTACACGGTTTGTTAATGACTATAGGTGTGGCTTACATTCTGAAGCTTTTGGATCAGTACCAGGAGTTTGATTCTCTGCACTGGTTCCAGTCTGTTAGAGAGAAGTATGTGAAGGAAATAAGAGCAGTAGCGAAGCAACAGAATGTGCAGTCCACTAATCAAGATGAAAAACTACTACAAACTATGAACCTTACCCACAAGCGACTGGAAGTTTGTTTACAGGTATAGCATGGGTCTAGTTATCTCTTCTGTACCGAGTTCTGCTCTTAGCCATCTCAATTCAGGTATCTGTTTTCTGACGGAGCTTATCAAGAGCAAAAAACATAAAGCCTTGTCTATAGCAGCAATGCAAAAAGAGTATGAAGACTTGAAGTGCGTGATCTGAAGGGGATGTCATGTTTGTGATATTTGTGGGGGGCAGGATGTTGACGTGGTTGATTGGAAGTCTTTGTCCCATGGAGTTTGAAATCTAACGCAACTAAAACCTAAATGCTTAAATAGGAGAGAATAACTTTTGGTTAAAGTTCTTACAGCAAAGATTTTACGTAACACTGTGAACCCTCAGAAATGCTTGGGTGTTAATTCTGAGCTGCTAAGTTGAATGATGCACTAGCTGTCGAATAGAGGAAAGGTGCATTTGAATTTTGAAGCATAGCAGTTTAGATTTCATCGGTGGTGTAAGTACTTTCTCTCTCTCTGCTCTTGATTTGAGGAGGCTCTGGGACAAATCTGTAGCTGGCTGTTTATAAACAGCCCTTGATTACATTCTGTAAAAGCACATCAGTTGTTGAAATAGGTAAAGCCCTGTATGTACTCATGACTCCCACAAGTGTGCACTGTGTTCGCTCCTCTGTTGTTAAAAAAACCCATGTCACACCTTCTTCAGAAAGTGATGAAGCTTGTGGCCATTTAAATTACTGGCTTGCATGATTTTCCATGGGCAAGTTGCTCCGAATTCTCACTGCTGCTACAAACCTCATTTTCAGCCTCAATGGACCAGTGACAGATTTATTGCACTGATGCTGCTTTGCTGAAATTACCCTCTAAAGTTTTTGGCTGACATTTGCTTTGTAAAATGCATGTGAACAAGGTATGAATGGAGGAAGATTTTCAGAAGCATTTAAGTGATTTAGATACTGAAATCTAGTTGCCTTAGATGTTTCTGAAAAATTCCCGTTTATATCTGTCTATGAATTCATTCTTGTGGTACACTGACACTCTTCTTCTGTGTCTTTTCCTTTAGGAATTTGAACTCCTTTATTTCTCACTAAGTAGTGCAAGAATATTTTTCAGAGCAGATAAAACTGCAGCAGAAGAAAACCAGGAAAAGAAAGAAAAAGAAGGTGAGTGAATGCTATACGTTTGGCTCATGAGTGTGCCTTAATAGGGAAGGTGCTGCTTTTATTTTTTTCCATAGCTGGTTTCTTGCTAGTGGCTTGATTCAGTATTCCAGAAAATGTTTTATGGGGTCAAGGGTGGTTGAGAAGTCAAGAACAGCTCACAGAAGCCTTCTCTGGAATGGGTGAATTTCAAGCAGGGCTTCTCAAGGGGGGGGAAACCCTCCCAAAAAACCACCACCACAAAAAAAAACAACCAACCCCAAAAAATCTGGGACAAGAAGAATTGCATACTGGCAGTCTGTTAAATGCAGTAACTTCAGCATCATACTTACCCTCTCAGTTACAATTTTTGACAATGACAGCCTTTTCTGCACCACCTTAGCTGGTGTGAAATGAACTGGTGTTTTCCACTTGTCATTACCAGCTGTTTTCCAGCTCTTGTAGGCAGATGATGCAGATGCTATAGGTGAGTTTCAGATGGTTATGATATGTTTTGGTCTACCATTGAATTATATTCAAAGGGTAAGATATTATTTTATGGTATGGTCTCCTGACTAGGTAACATGGGTATTTTGTGGCTTATATTCATGCTTATATATTCTCCCTCATGAATTCTGGAAGATTCTCTTGGGTATGGGAGAATTCTTTTCAAAGAAATGAGAATGCTCCCAAGGATTAAGATACGGAAGTGCAGTTCAGTCACAAGTTACTTAGAAACTCAGGTAACAGTATATTAAAAATTGAATTGGTAAATAATTTTCCACTGTAGTTCTGACAAAGGCACAAGTGACCTGTGAGAATACAGTGACGGGAGCCAAAGATCAGGTTTCTTCTGCCCTAGAGAAACAGTTCAAAGGAAAAGAAGTTTTTTAGCATGAATTTATATTTGATTGTATTCAGTGAAGTTGCTCAGATAATTGTTCAACTAAAAAAAAAAAAAACCGAACTAAAACCAACAAAAACCACTCCCACAACCCCTCAAAAAAACCCCCACAAAAACAACAAAACAAAACAAAAAAACCAAAAAACCCCAAGCCAACTACAAGCATTGTGGCGAGTAAGAATAGACTTACTGCCCTGGCTTCTTTAGGAGAGCATTCTGTAGAACATCAGTTACTTCATTATATTTTAGGTTCAGTATTCACAGCTGGGATACATGTTCAGTTCACTGAAAAATGTTTTGTGGTGAGAAAAGCTTGAAATGCAATAGCAGGGTGAAAAGCTTTGAACACGGTGCTGCCTTTGCAATCTGCCGTAATATTTGGACTTGGACTCTGCAGAATGTGTGGGGGTGTGTGCGTAATCTTTGCACAAATTCGACTGACTGCAGAAACTTTTCACCCCAAAGAGAAGATTTCTTCACAGGGCCAGGACCCTTTGTGCTGCAAGGTCAGTTTGCATATGCTGACCGTGGTATGCTGTATCAAGTGTGTTATGACATCAGCGTAATATATATATGCTAAGATTTTGGGTTTAGTGCTTTGAATAAAATGGTAAACATGGATCCATGTCTTTATTTTTTGTTTTTGTAGAAGAATCCGTTAAAGCAAGCAACGGAGATCTTTCCAACTCTACGCCTGCCGATCCGGTTGTGAAATGATGGTATGGGTGATGCTTACTTACTCAAATAATTCATGTTCTTGTCATTATCAGTAACGCTCTGTAGGGGTAAAAGCTCTAGATTTGACTTACTTGCTCAGTTAAACCCAAGAGAAAATGTGCAGTAATATACTAGCAGCCAGTGAGGCAGGGTCTGTGTTTGTCTGTATTTCCTGTAGAAACTCCTATTTTTCAGGAGTTTACGTTCTTTACAGCACTTTCTTTACATTGAAAATAATTATATAAAATGCTGACCTTGGAGGTAGTTATTTTAAAGTACAGTTGTGCAGATAAAAAAAATTACTGATTTGTAGATGCATTCTTGCACCTCTAATATAGCATTTAAAAAAAACAAAGAAAAAAAAGACTCATAAGCCACTGGTCTAAGATTTGAACTGGTGCATCTCTTCAACCAGAAAACCAAAAAAAAAAAAAATCAAGATACTGTGCGTATCTGTTGTCCAAAAGATAATTCAGACATGTTTTTATGCGGTCCTGTTGTATCTAATGCAGTCACAGATTACACTGTGGTATAACAGTGTGTACACTGTGAATGTGTGTTAAAGCGATTACACAAAATGGAAATCCTTATTCATGTTCTGTTCCACAAACCCTTATTATTACTACAGATAGCGTTCGCACTGTGGGAACTTAGGATCCTGTCAGGCATTTGTTTTCCCCTGCTGTTTTTCCCCCTGTATCAGAGAATGGGAAAACCAGAAAGTTAACGTAATAAATTACTTCTCGTTTCGTACCGAAGGTCTGATTTGCATCTGCAGAAGTAAGGAAATCCAGAGCCAAGACAGAACCACAATCAGCTCTTCCTTTTATGACCAGGCACTGTGTGATGGGTGTCTGTAACTATTAAGTGATCTTACACTTCATGACTATGTTGTGCCTAACTGCAAGTTTCAGCCTCAATTCCGCGTTTCCTAGCCTTGGTAGGTCTGTTGTACCGTCTGTGTTGTTCATACAGTCTTACATGCCTGACTATTAACAATAATTGCACTGCAGGCTTCAGAAGCTGCTGAACACTGTGAGAACTGTATAAATGGAACATCTGTTACTGCCTGCAAGTAGAGGTTCTAGACTGTGCAAGAGTTACTCAGATTCCTAACTTAAGTAGCTAGACTGAGCTTAAATGTAAGCACCACCTCCATTAAAAGATACAGTTGTGTTTTAATCTCCCAGGACATAAAACACATGCTAAGTCTTACTAACTAGAATAAACTAGCCCAGTCAGTCCAACTGAGAATTACTCTTTTGGGGTTGTTGGGGTTTTTGTTGGCACTCCCAACTGTATTTTTAGACCATACTTGCCAGTTTCATTCATCTCTTCTAATCACAGAAGAGGCAATTTTTAATGGTTCAAATTGTTCCACCACCCTTTGGTCACTGGTTAAGGCAATTCCTGACGTACATCTGCTTTGCCCTTTCCTGCTGGTCACTTCCACATTCAGAAAGCTAGGACAAATTTTTTTGTTGCAACCGGACAGACCAGAGTGACATGGAAGTCCTTTCATTGGTTCTGAAAACGTGACACAGAAGCTTCACAGACTGTGTAAATCAGCTGGGCTTACTAAAGTTTTTATTTTTAATTCATTGTAACTGCAGAGACTGCCCTAAAGAATGCTGCATTACTTGATTTGTATTTTTGATTTATTTTTTTTTTTTGATACAGGGTTGGTTTTTTTTTTTTCTGTAATTTGTGTACGCTTTCTTTTTTGACCAAATTGTGCCCACACTGGACACTCAGTAGTGCTGCCGAGATCAGCATCCTTGCTGCTGCTGCTGATTTCCATAACCTTGCAATTGCAGTGTACGTATTCCCGTATTCCTCTCTCATCTGGAGCCACCTAAGTTCTTGGCTTGGAATGGCCAAGCACTACATTTCCTTCTTCCACGGCAACTGCAGCATCGCCTGTAGGTGGTGGTCGTTTCCCCCAGTATGGAGCTGCCAGGCAGCTACCTACAGTCCAGACTCATAAAACCTGCACTTGTGTCTTCCCTTCTCCCCTTTTTTTCTTTTTTTTTTTTTTGGAAGGATGCCATCTCGGGTAGGTAACACTTTGCAGTTGAATGTAAACTGAATGAACTGTGCATTTTCTTAATGTATGGTGGTTAACAGTCACGTGGTTCTAGCAATGATGGAAGTTTTCCAGGAAAGACACAAGCCTATTTTTGACAGAACCCTGTTTAATCTGGGAGACCTGAATGTATACTGTATGTGGCAAAACCACATATATACACACACATATGTACAGTGATAATAGAGCTGTTCTTGCTAACGCAGGATTGTAGTTTGTATTGCCTTCTTTCTTTTTATCACGTAGCAGCATACACCCACAGAAAGCTTTTCTCACCTGAAATACAAGGTGGGTCCTGGATTTGGATGTCACCCACTCCTGTGAGTCAGTGACAGTCACATCAAATCCTTCTTTTTTTTTTTTTTTTTTTTTTTTTTTTTTTTCCTTCCCCCCAAACAAGGATCTGAGAGGGGTGCAAAAATCTTGCTTTGGTGCTACTACTGTTTTCATTGCTTTTGCCTTCCTCTGCTGATAATAGGAACAAAATGGAGAGGAGAGGATGGAGCCAAAACAAAAAAAAAAAAAATCCCCCAAACTAAACCGAGTGTGCTCCCTCAGAATTCCCAGAGGAGATAAAAGGAAAGCGAGGATGATGAGCTTGCTGCAGGGACATAAAACGCATCTGTAGGGTTTTTTTCCTTCACGTCATGGGCAGGATGGGCTGAGGGCGTCTCTCTCCCGGAGAGGGCAGCTGCTGCCACTGCCCTCGCCTGCGGGGTCTCGCAGCAAGGCTGCTGCGTGCACACGTGGTAGCAGCAGCTCTTCAGAGGCCTCGCGCCCTGCTGCTGGTGGGGTGCTGTGCCCTCGTGTGCCAGCAGCCGCGGGGCTGCCTTGCCCTTCCGCCCCACGGAGGGGGCAGAGCACAGCCCTGGCCCAACTCGCGCTCAGCCCCAGGGTCGAAAGGTGTTTGCACTGAGCGGAGGTAGGCGATGGCCGCGACGGCGCCCGGCTGGCGTCGGCTTCAGTGGCAGGTGAGCTGCTGCAGGGCAGAGGCTGGAGGTCCTCATGCGGTCTGTAATCAGAAACACATTTGAGTTTTCATCTGATGTCCATTGACAACAGCTGTTTTCAGCTTCTCAGGTACAAAGGACCAAATGTAACACTTAATGTTTCCTAGCGCGTTGTACAAAAGGGTGTTCTGTTACCTCAGTCTCTTTGGTTTGTGAGTGGAGAACATTATGTACATAAAACTGTTAATAAATGTCATTTTGAGAATCTCATTCTTTTAGTGTCTTCAGTAACATCAGCTTCAGTAGGTCTTAACTTTTTTAATAAGACAGCTTCAGCTTTTATTTATGAAGAATTTGTGTCAGTTACTAAGAGGGCTCTTCCATGGTTCCTTTCATCATCCAACAACCAACTAAACTGAATTTATTCCACGTGAAATGCTTGCAAAGTGGGATCTTTCAGATGCTGTATCACAGATTCTGCTTACAGAAAATCTTGTTTTCCTAGTAAGCGCTTGAGAAGAGTTAAATTAAATTGGAGGAATTTCAGCCATTTGTTCCAGTTACTTGATTAATACAAACTATGCCACAGATTACATCACCCCCAAAGCCTCTTCATTTGGTTTATTTTTGTTTGTTCTTGCAAAGTACAGTTTCTCATGGTTTCAGGTTAAACTGGAAAGGAAAAAAAAAATCTGAACTTACTAGCCAAATCTATCTAGTGCCTAATTTCAGGAATGTACTATGAGACTCATCAAGACAGTGTAGACTTAAAATCTAGCATTTTATTGCTCAGTTTCTTAAAACCAAAGACTGCTGGTAGATGCAGCTGTTGCAGATCAACATAGGGTTAAATATACAAAGAATTCTTATTATAAAAGTATTTATTTGTCCTACAATTATCATCTCTGGCAACTTAACTTTTAAGAAACCTAACCGTAGAAAAACGGCGCATAACCACCATGCCTCAGTCGTCGACTACTTCAGATGTTTGCAGGTCAGTGGTATTTAGAATAATAAATCAAGGAAGTACATTATGTCCATTATTTAACTACAGAATGTGAGAGTGCGGTCCCCGTGAGGGTAAGAGTAGGCACTTAGATTTGTTTTGTAACCTTATTCTAGATGCGATATAAAAATAGATTATATTAATAGGAAAAAAATTTAGTGTTTAACAAATTGTTTTGTAAATAGGCTAGCACAAAAGATAAACCTTGTTATGCTTAGACTAGACTAAAAATAACTTCCTCTGAAAATAAAGTAAATAGTGCACTTTTAACCTTCATTCAGATGCACATGATCATGCAAACTAGGAGACTTGACTAGAGTAGGAAGCTTGAGGCCTGATACTTGTTAAAGGAGCTGCCAGCTTACGGCTTGTGCTAATTTCAGTGGAACTGTAGGCTGCTGGCCACGTAAATTTGAAGAAGTGACATTAACCCTTTGTGGGCGGCCGCCCGTCCCCCCCCGCCTGCCAGCAGCAAGGGGCTAATGCCGAAACATTCCCGAGGATTGTCAGCTTCCCAGACACACCTACACGCTACACATTCGCAAATGCCAAAAGCCTCAAAGGCCAAGTCCTGCTGCTGTTCCATTGTAAATCCAGAGGGAACTCCGCTGCGAAGCCGCCACGCTGCCCCTAGCAGGAAGACAGAAGCTGGCCCTGTGTGGGCGCCGGTGGCCGAACACCAGAGATTCCTGCAAATCAAATCTCTGCTTTTCCCGCTCCCACACAGGCTCCAGGAAAGGACAAAGAGGGTGGGGTTTTTTTTTTTTATGCTTCTGACTCCTCCCCTTCTTCGTGTATCGTTCCATCCTCTTCTGCCTGATCGTTCAGAAGCATGAACTTTCCATCATTTGTTAACGGCATGGACTTCATTAGCTGGGCCAATGCTTCTGGATCCTGAAGAAAAACAGAGAGAGTTGGGCGGCCTGCAGCAATCTGTGAGGACTGCACAGTTTTCCCAGTACTAATTAAGGTTTTGCAACTCTTTTTTATGACAACTTTTAGTTCAAAGGTTCGAAATATAAATAATCCCTTTTGGTTCAGTAAAACCACCCCTTAGGTACACAGGAAGGAAAAAAGGTCACTCATTTTGAGCCTTTATTTTGCTGTTCTTATCTGGCATCGATGTAACTACTGAAAACCAAGGAGAAAAGGAACTGTCTAGTATTATTTACTGTACCTGTGCTTACTGCCCGTGAATAAAAGCTCATTCCCCCAATTTGTTCTGAAATCTTAGCAGCAAAACTATACAGCAAATATTAATGTACCAGTGTTACATCTTTATATAGATAAATGTATCTACAAGGGGGTAGGTAACGTTGCCGTTCATTTTAAGTGAAAAAACACTGTGTGTTTTAAGTGGAAAAAGTGTTTTTCCTCCCTAAAGGAGAAAGGAATAGGAGTTTCTAAAAGTGAAACAGCAATGTGTGTGATTTACATTTCATCCCAAAGAGTTTGGGGTTTTTTTGAAAGCTTTGCTCACAGCTTCCTTTCAGACACGCAATTGCATTTGTGTAGCGCCGAGTTTGATCTAGGGTGGCAAATTTTGTCTCAAATCAAGCCACTGCAAAATCAAACTATTTTTGCATGAACTACCCTGGGGCTGTGTCAAATGATGCCTGAGAAGCTTTGGCACTCAGCAGCCTGGCAGTTCTTTTCTTTTTTCTTACGCACACCAGCAGTACCTGGACAGTGCAGCCAAAAGCAGAATATGATGTCTCACAGCACAGACACGGGGAATGAAACAAACCTACCTTCTGTGCCTCGATGATTTCTTTTCCCAAGCTGATGGCATAGCAAATCTAAAAAAAAAAAAAAAGAAATATATTTAAAGTTCAGTTTTGTTTTGGTTTTTTTGTTCCTTGATTGGGACTAAACCACAGAAGCGTTAATGCAAAGTTAGTCTTAAATACAGGTCTGAAAGCAGAGGTGGAATGCCAATTGACCATGCTACCTACATAAAAATAAACCCATCCTGGGTTCTACTTCAAAGCTCACTTAGGCTGGTAAGTCTTTGTACTCCACTCAGTTTTCTTCACCAACCTTTATTTCCAAACCTGGGGGGGGAACCTTTTCCAGTGCATCCAAAAGCATTATTGTTCTTAAAGATAATTCTCCAGCCCGTTCCTTATTTCTAATGGTCTGGGTTTTATCATATGCAGCGAGCACACGGTGCTGTTAATGCAGCATGGCTGCCTTGTCTTTGAAAGCTGCGCAACAGAGCTGACGTTCATTTTTGTTAGTGCTGGTGCCAGGCACACACGCTTTCCCCTCCCTCTTACTGTTGGTACTGGCAATCGCATCCTTTCTTCCTTGTTGTACGCGCTGCTGCATTATCTTTAAGTTTGGTCCTTTTTAGACAAAAGCCAGCAAAGGCCTGCACGGTAAGGCATGTTTTCTTGGCAAGAAACTGAGCTGCTCTTGCTGCTATAGCACTGTTTCCCAGATGTGTAAGCCAAGAAGCCTAAGACCTGTTTTCTAAATAATGTATTTTAGTAAGCGTCATGCAAACCTTTTCCCCTTCTGTGTTGCTCTCGAAAATATATGCGCTCATGGATTCTTGTCCCAGAGTCTCGCTGAGGTGGACCACAAAGCCAATCAGTCTCCTGTTATCCTGATGAGCAGCAAACTGTGACACGGTGGCAAGTTCAAACTGGAAAAGTATAATACAGAATTTATTCTCCTTAACGAGCATATGGTTGGCTTGGTCAAGGGCTCAAGTTCACGTGACTGAGTATTCAGTGCTGTGGTGCAAAACCAGATCCAAAACAAAAGTTACTTACACTTGTTCGTGTAACTTGGGTTTGAGGATCTATTAACCTGCAATTATATGTAGGGAGGAAAAAAAAAAGAAATGATTTTATAGCGATTCTTACTAATTTCAAGGTGCTTTATAATACCAAGGCAATCACTACAGCAATTTTACAGATGAGAAAGCATTTGAACCTGTGCATGTTTTATCTGTGATTTCAAGTTGGTTGACAGCAAGGTTCAACTCTAGGCCCTGACTCCCCGCTGCTTGACGTGTATAGGTCATCATATCTTGGAGTCACTGTTCTGGTCAGCATCCCGAGGGTACGGGCTGATACACGGATACACACACATGGACATAAACTCGCTCCAGCTAAAGTGAACGGCTTGTACCAACATGTTCTACAGTGCCAATACTGACATCAGGACAGTGATGGCTCTCTTGCTGTTACTATGTGTAAGGAAGGAGAACCCTCCAATGCACTTTTTTGCCTTATAGCCCCACTGCATCCCCTAAATACTGGTAGGATGTTCTTACAACTTAGTCAGGGGGGTGATTTCTCGATACTACAAAGTAAGGAAAGAGACTTTTTTACTAAGTAAAGTGAATCACAGGATCTTCCCCCCTCAAAGGGTGTACTTCTTGGAAAAACAAAAGCAAAAATACTTTACTAATCACAGGCTGTATTAAGAGAACAGAATGCTGACAAGCTGAAGGTTTTACAGTACCTCAAGTTCTTGCTGGTGACCATGAGGTGGGATTCAGTCATACGGAATATGTTGTGAATGGCACGAGCAGCTAACACTTGTCTCATGGCTTCATAAATCACCTCACTTGTGTCATCTGACTGAACAGCCATCGATCCTAAAAACCGAACTACGAACATCTGCTGCAAGAGCGAATCTGGAAGATAAAAGGCGTGACTTCCTTCACTGTGCTACTGCAATTTCCCAGTAGCTGAAGTTATCAATGAAATTATTTTTTTCACCTTGGAAATTCAACACTAAACCTGCGGGTGGTGACTGCAAGGGTGGTGACTTCCTGCTATGAGCCAGGCAGTGCTATGACCCAGTTTTAAACAGGGCTTGAACTGGCAGCAAGCAGGGGGGAAAAAAAACCCAAACCAAAACAAAATCACAGTTGCTTGGAAGCTTTAAAAATGTAACTGATCCTTTATGCCTTACTTGATTTAGCTAGTAAAATTCACTTGCCTATCTTGTTATCAGGTGCGCGTAAACTGTGATAAATTTATGGTTCTGCACAAGCCTTGGCTTCGATCAGATTAACTCTTATCTTTAAACCTTGCACATTCCTTGCTTTCCTCTGTGTCCTTTTGACCTTCCCCACAGCTGATGGCAATGAGTTTTTCATTAAGTCCTTCCTCGCTCATTGACTGTCACCGTAAGACTCCTGTTTACAAAGA